TAGGATGTCAGTGACCCAAATGGTGGTTTTTGTCCTTCCATTCATTCCTGTTATTTTTTTGAATTTTCCTTTAGGCTTTTTACCTGGTGGTCACAAAATAACCTGCTTCAGATCCAGATCTCCTGTCCCCACATTATCATCGACAAAGCAGGGCGGATGGGGGTGGTGGGAGAGATGTCCTCTTATAAGAGAAAATTTTCTATCTTGAGGCCTCTCTGCAGACTCCCCCTCAGACTGGCGTTGATGAGAAGAGCTTTCTGAGATATTGAAAGTATCCTATAGTTTGCGCCAAAGTATCCTATAGTGGGTCCAAAATGGTACCACCAGCCACGTATAGTTAGTGGGCACTTGGCTTGTTTACTGTGTTGAAAGGACTGAATTTTTAGTTTTATTTAATTGTAATTAATCTAGACTTAAATACTCACATAAAGCTAACGTCTATCGTGTTGCACAGTATAACTTTTGGTTCTTTTTGGCTAGAACGAGGTTGAGGCCACCCACGGTTGCAAAGGAGGCTGGGAAAATGATTAGCTTTTTCAGTCTTTAAGGGAGAAAAGGTTTGGCAATGGCTCTTTGGTAGGAGCAACAGCGTCTGCGATAAAAAGTAGATAAGAGTGTCATAGAGCTGGTGTTGTGGTGTGGGAGGCTAACAGCATAAAAATGTAAACAAATACATTTTAGAAGGTAGCTATCTTCAGGCTTGAACAAGCCATGTTATCTAGACTCAGTCCAGATGACTGGTCTAGATTTTCGAGTAACTTAATGGGGAGTGATTGGAGGTGGGAGTGATTTAAGAAGGCGGTTGGAAAAGCCTCTAGGAGCTCGTGGTAGAGAAAGAAGAAGACAAGCACGGAAATAAGTTATTAACAATCAACAAGGTGGCATATACGTGTATCACACCCATATTTATTATATTCCTACATACGTAGCTGTACCCTATCCCTAATAGGAGGGGCGATGCATTTGGAACGCTTCTCTGGTGTCTCCTACAAGCCTTACATAATACTGCAAGACGAGATTCATAGCATAGAAGCTTTGGAATGTGGTCCATCTACCCTCCTTAAAGCAACAGCTGGTGCAACGCAGCTTTCCTGGATGATGTGGACACAAATACGGTTAATGAGGGATTTCTCAAGGTGTTTCTATCGGATGTTCTAACGTGGGACAATCACAAACACGGTGAAAACTCTGAAAGGACCTATTAGGTCCTACAACTTCAAATGCTAGGATGTTCGCGATGCCTGAGGGGGTATCAGCAGTAGATGGACCTGTCTGGCAAGAGGCTGTCAGGGCTGGGGTAGCTTAATTAAAGCGAAGTTTCTGATGTCACTGAGGGTAAGCAGTCACCCAGAATCATCCTCTGAGGTTTTTCTAAGCGTGGAAAGGATGACGTGCCGCTTTTATGAATCCATACCGGTACAGAAATGATGATAAAGGAGGGTGGTATGATTCAAAGGATAGAGTGTTGAGAGATATGCTCTCGAAAGTTCTTTCTGTCTTTCAGATACCACTCTCTCGTGATCTCTAAGGAGTTTTATTTTTCAAAGATAGTATGAATTCTGTGCAAGAATGGCTGAAATTGCCTATATAATAAAACATTTCATCTCTTCCATGTTTCTTCTTGGATTCATGGTACCACCTGAGATTCTTTTTTTTTTTTTTTGATTCTTTTTCTTATAATTCTATGCTTTATATAACTTTTGTGACGGTAGTGAAGTAAAAAGAGGATATGTACCTAATTGGTGCTGGTACTGGTGGCACACAAATATCAAAACAGACACGCACAGTTTCAACTATAGGCTGAAATAGAACATGTGAAAATATGCACAGATTCTAAGTTCACATGACAATTTGTAGCCATGATGCTAATAACATGGCTATTGAAAACTTCCATTTTGCTTCTATTTTTTATAAAGAAAATGGATGATAATGACAATGATAGTTTTGCTAGTGGATAATAACTCTTTACATGAATTCAAGAGAAATCTGAGCAATTTTGCCTACTTAACACATTTATTTTTGCCTTCTAGCTGATTTACAGATTTATGTATTTATTTTTTTATTTTTAGTTAGGCTCCACGCCTAAGATGGTGCTTGAACTCCACAACCCTGAGATCAAGAGTCCCATGCTCTTCCGACTGAACCAGCCAGGCACCCCGGACTTATAGATTTAAAGCTACTTAATGGTAATGATGATCTCCCATTTTTTCTACCCATTAGTGTGGAGGTCTATGGTGTTCAATGAGGTAGCCATTGGGCCCCTTGGGCTTTTTAAACTCTAAATCAATTAAAATTAAATAAACCAGGGACGCCTGTGTGGCTCAGCGGTTGAGCATCTGCCTTTGGCTCAGGGCAGACCCCGGGGTCCTGGGGATCGAGTCCCACATCTAGTTCCCCACAGGAAGCCTGCTTCTCCCTCTGCCTGTGTCTCTGCCTCTCTCTGTGTGTCTCTTCATGAATAAATAAATAAAATCTTTAAAAACTAAATTAAACTGAAAAATTATCTTACCTCACACTGGCTACCTATCAAGTGTTAAACAGCCACCTGTGGCTGCCATATTGGACAACACAGACCTAGAATATTTCTATCAGAGAAGGTGCCATTAGCAATGGTTACTGTTGGGTTTATGTAGTTGAATCTCAAAAAATGTTGGTCAAAGGAAGTGCTATTTAAATATTAATGCAAGCGGGTACGTTAAATGGAGATCATCTGTTTACTATTGAGAAAATTCTAATCATAGATTCCTGGGAATTGGTCCCTTTGACCAACTCTGCCAAGGCCTCAGGCCCACACAAGAAAGACTCTGCACTGCGCTCTGCGTTTTAGAGGGCACCATTTTAGCTCCCCTCTGCAAGAGGTAACATTCTCCAGGGCCAAGGGCTGTGTTCCCCAGGAGCTCCTGTCCCTTTCCTGCTTCTTGCCCTTATCCAATTTACCCAGGACGCAAGAATTCACTGATCAAAGACTCCTGGGGTGCCTGGGTGGCTCAGTGGGTTATGCATCGGACTCTTGGTTTCCGCTCAGGTCATGATCTCAGGGGTCATGAGAGAGACCCCTGGTTCCTTCAGCAGAGTCCCCATCAAGATCCTTTCCCTTTGCTCCTCCTGTACTTGCCAGCCCTGTGGGCAGGAGAGCTCTCTCTCAGATAAATGCATTAATTAAAAAAGAAAAAAAATCCCCAGGGTATTTCCAGGTCCTGAGCAGGTCTCTTTCCAGAATCGTCCTCCCAAGGGAAGAGCAGACCACTGCTGTGTGCACTGCTAGGCCGAAGGTGACCATCTGAGGGCCTGGATAGAGGGTGGTTGGGGGGGTGGGGGGGTGCTCAGGTTGCATACTTGGGTAGAAAGCCCCTCCTGCTGAGGAACAGAGCTGGCCCAGGAAGCAACGCGGCTGGGAGCAAGCGGGAAGGCTGAGCACTGGGGTCTGGCCCTTTCCTGCCCGCTGGGTTTCAGGGTGGAGCTGCAAGGGCTCTATAGACACACTTGGACTTGGTGTGTGTGTGTGTGTGTGTGATTAAGGTGTGCTTCTCGAGGTAAGACAACAGAATAGGTTTTGTTAGCTTGGAGTATTTCTTGTATTTAAAGGTAGAGTATGTCAGCCCTGGTCTTGCAAACATTGGCGGGGGGGGGGGGGGGCGGTTGGAGCCCTGCATAGAAGAGAGCGGATTCAGCTGCGGTTCTTGGCCCGTCTGGCCATTATCACTGCTCTAACTGGTCACAACTCCGGTATGTGCGGATGTCAGGGGAACGGTTCTTTCAAAGGGCTGCTGGTCCAGCGCCCCCCCCCCCCCGCCCGCCCATGCATCCTTCCCAGGGAGCCCAGCTGGAGTTGCTGAAGGCTCCTGAGAGTCCAGGTTCCAGGAAGGGGGGGGGGGGCTGTGCGTTGCTCGGGTGCATGTGGGACAAATGAAACTACGGTGTTCCAAGAGAAGGCGGAGATCGCTGGGGGGGGGGGGCTGCGGTGCACCCCGTGAAAGTTTGATTCAAAAGCAGGTGGTGTGCAGGAGCAAGCACGGCGGTGTATCAGGAGGTCGGCAGGGGCATCCATTCCCTGACGATGCTGGGGGCGGTGACGGAGAGGGCAGACCACAGGCTGACCTGAGAGCAGCCCCTGGGGGCAGGATGTGGGGTGGGGAGGTGCAGCCCGGCTGGGGCCGTCTCCCCGTCCCGTCCGTCTCCCGGTAAATTCCCTCCCGCTCTTCTCAGTGCGGCCCCCGGGGCGGGGCGCACGGGGCGGCTTTGTCCGCGGGCGGCGGACGGATGCGAGGGAGGGCGGACACCGTGGCTGGAGTTTGCAGTAGAAGTTTCTTCCGCGCTCGGCGCCGGCTCCCGGGCTCCGGCGGGGCGCTCCAGGACTCCCGCGCGGGCGGGGGCGGGGGCCGGGGCCGGGGGCGGGCGAGCTGCGCCGCGGGCCGAGGGGGCGGGGCGGTGGGCGGGGCGGTGGCGGCGGCGGCGGGGAGGGGGCGTGGCGAGGGGCCCGGGGCGGCGGGAGGGGGGAGGCGGGGAGGAGGGGCGTGGCGGCGCCGAGGGGCGTGGGCGTGGCCGGGGGCGTGGCCAGGGGCGTGGCGAGGGCCCGTGGCGGCGGGGAGGGGCGGGCGGCACCGAGGGGCGTGGCTACAGAGGGCGATGGGCGTGGCGAGGGGGCGTGGCGAGGGCCCGTGGCGGCGGGGAGGAGGGGCGGGCGGCACCTAGGGGCGTGGCTACAAGGGCGAGGGGCGTGGCGGGGGGCGTGGCGGGAGGCGGGAGGCGCCGCCGCGGGCAGCGGCCAGGGGAGGCGGCGCCGGCGGAGGACGAGGAGGCGGCGCTCCCGCGGGGCCCGAGAGCGGCCGTGACCCCGCGGCTCCCCCAGGCCGAGCGCGGCCGCGGCGGACAAAGGAGCATGCTGGCGCCGAGGAGGGCCCGTCCTGCGGCCGCCCCGAGGCCCCGGGCGCCGCCGGCCCCGCGCCGCGCCCCCGCCCCCGCCCGCCCGAGCGCCCGCCCGGCCCGCTAGGCCCCGGCCCGCAGCATGGAGCCGCCCGGGCGCCGGCGGGGCCGCCCGCTGCCGCTGCCGCTCGCGCTGCTGGCGCTGCTGGCGCTGCCGGGAGGAGGCGGCGGGGCCGCGGCGCTGCCCCCGGGCTGCAAGCACGACGGGCGGCCGCGGGGGGCGGGCAGGGCGGGCGCCGCCGAGGGCAAGGTGGTGTGCAGCAGCCTGGAGCTGGCGCAGGTCCTGCCCCCCGACACGCTGCCCAACCGCACGGTCACCCTGTGAGTAGCGCTCGCGCCGGGCCCTCCCGGGCGCCCCCTCGGAGCGGGGTCCCCGGGCCGCGCTTTGTGCGCTGGCTCCGCTGCGGGGCTCGGCGTCCGCGCGGGCCGGCCGCCCCGGGGCCACGTGAGGATGCCAGGGACGCCAGACCCGCGACGCGGCTCCCGGTCCGCGCCTGGGCTCCCCGAGCGCCGGCCCCGCCCCGCCGGGCCCCCACCTGCGAGCCCCCACCTGCGGCTCCCCACCTGGGGCTCCCCACCAGCGGGCCCCCCACCTGCGGGCCTCCCCCTGCGGGAGCCCCACCTGCGGGCCCCCACCTGCGGCTCCCCACCAGCGGGCCCCCCACCTGCGGGCCCCCACCTGCGGCCCCCCACCTGCCGGAGCCCCATCTGCGAGCCCCCCACCTGCGGGCCCCCATCTGCGAGCCCCCCACCTGCGGGCCCCCCACCTGCGGACCCTCACCTGCGGGCCCCCCACCTGCAGTCCCCCACCTGCGGTCCCCCACCCTCCGGGCCTCCCACCTGCAATCCCCCACCTGCGGGCCCCCACCTGCAGTGCGCACGACGGGTGGCGGAGCGCTCGGACCGCCCGCGCCCGCAGCTGCCGGGCCCCTGGGCTCTCCCGGCCTTTTGCTCCCTGCGAAAGCACCTTTTAACCTGGGGTTGATGCTAAGGGCGAGAGACAGGTGAGCCGTGCACCCTCCCGCCCGGGTTTCGTGCGTTTGTGCGCTCCTGTTCGAAAGCCCGAGAACTTTGGGATTGAAAACGGGGCTTGTGGATAAGCCTTCCAGCTCGCGGGGCTGCGTGGTTGCGTTTCCCACCTAGAAGGAAGCGTTTTTGGGCTCGTAACTGCCATTCGTGCCCGGATTCGCGCCCCGTGTCGCCAGCCGGGCCGATGAGTCGGTTTGGTAAAGTTTGTTTCCGATGGGTCTTTCGTCGAACTGCGATAGGAGCCCCTCGGCCCCTCTGGGTTCTTCTGGCTGGAAAGTTTCCTAAAGAAGAATCGAGGCTGGGGAGCAGGGTGACCTCGGAGAAGCTTAAAACGTGGTTTTTAATGTGACCCCAGTTAAGCAGGATGTATGGGAAGGGGAGGATAAATCTCATTACACCCTCGTTCTCCTCTTTCCTTTTTTTTTTTTTTTTTTTTGAATTAAGGTTCTGAACACAGGAAAACTGTGTTTCTGTCTTTGGAGAAATGAAAAGGGGTCAGATAGTTCTTGTTTGACTCCTCTACTGACGCTTGACCATTTGGTAGTGGCAGCAGCTGTATTTATTTATTTCGTAGCCGGATTCTTTGAAGTGGAAATTTTGGGGTATGGGACCTTTAATTACAGTCTCGAGTCAAAAAGAGAAGAGCCCTGTGTTGGAGGGATCCCTTTATAACTTTGCGGAAATTAGTCATCATGCATTTGGGTTCAGCGGCGCTCCAGCTGATTCAAGTTTAGGTCGAGTTTTGTTTTGTTTTGTTTTGTTTTTTTTCAGAATGTCAACAGTTTCAGCTGTATTCAATCAGCTATCTGTGAATTGGTTTTGCTTTGCAGATTTTTAGGTGGTGGCATAGAAAATCCCTCTTGAGCGTATTATCAGACTATTTGTCAGTGAACTTTTCACGAACTGATTAAAATATAGGTGCCTTTGGAAAGTCACGATAATCCAATATTTCTTGCCACCTGAAACCTCTCCAGAGGAAAATGAAATTAATAGAATTTAATGAATGGGAAGGACCTATCGGCGATTTAAGGATCAGCTGATGTTCTGGATTCAGTTGGGTCAGGATAATTTGGACCTGGTAGAGGGTCTTCTGGACCAGCCCCTTCATTTTACTAGGGAATAAATCAGAGTCTAAGCGCGCTTAAGTGACCCAAGTTCCCAAAGAGATTGAGCGGCAGGTCCATGGCCCTGCTGTCCTGTGTGCAGTTCAGATGCTTTCTCATCTTTCCCCCTGGCCTTCCTCTTTCTTAGTTGTGTGTGTGTGTGTGTGTGTGTGTGTGTGTGTGTGTGTGTGTGTGTGTGTGTGTAGCGTTTCCTAGGTAGCAGGCAGCACTGAGGTTTAGACTAGGTCTTAGTTTCCTCGGAGTGTGGCAAATTACCACACACTTGGTGGCATAAAACAAGAAATTTCTTTTCCAACAGCCCTGGAGGCAGCCCTGGAAGTCACGGGGTCATCAGAGCCGCGCTTTCTCCAAAGGGTCTTTCAGCTTCTGACATGACTTGGACTGTGGCATCCCAGTGCCAGGCTCTGCCTCTGTCTTAAGGTGGCTTCTTTCCCGTGAGTCTGTGTTTCAAATATTGTCCTTCCTCTAACAAGGTCACCGGTCACTGACTTTAGGGTCGACCCTAAGCCCAGGATGATCTCATCTAAGGACGTTTAACTTAATTACATCTGCAGAGACCCTATTTCCAAGAGAGGTCACTTTCAGAGGCACCAGGGGTGAGAACGTTGGGCCTCTCTTGGGGGCATACTCTTCAACTCACTGTAGAATATAAATAAAAACTTGGTCTTTCTTCAGGAATTACAAGTTTTGGGAGAGAAATATTCATGAATTCAGAACAATATGGTAAATGCTCTAATATTGGGGTGGACGTGTAGCAAAAGAAACTGAGGTGGGCAAGCCAAGGCCCCTTGGGACATAGTCGTCAGGATCCAGGATCTGAGGATCCTGAGCCAATTCGAGGAGGATGAGATGGGGAACTGTGTACGACTTAGGGGATGGGAGGGGAGACCCGCCTCCCCATCCCTCCTACCCCCAGGTGTGCCCACAGGCTTCCAGAGGGCAGTGGTGCTGGCTGTGCTGGGCTGTGCAGTTGACGTTGCTAAGATCTCAAGGGCAAGTGTCCGCTGCCTGGAGTGGTCAGAGAGGAGCCTGTAAGGGCCAGGTCAAGGACAGGAAGTCTCTCTGGTTTTAATTTTAATCCCTTGGGTGTGGCCGTGTTCAGCTGAGCTGGGATGTGGCTGCTGCAAAGAAAATGAATGGGACAGAATTTTTCTTTTTCCTTTTTTTTTTTTTTTTAAATAATGGAAAATAAGGTCTTTTCTACCTAGTGGATGAACTGGACGTCAGCATAGCCAAGAGCTCGGACCCTTCAGCTACCGTAGGGAACAAACAACACTTACTTTCTTATTTAGCTGTGTTTGTGGAGAGGCCCCGGAGAAATCCTCAGCTTGACCACACTGGTTTCCTATATCATGTAGTCTTTGGTATTAAAGAATTAAATTCTTTAATTCCTGCCCCCCCTTTTTTTATACCCAGATTGAATGAAAATTTGACTTTTCAGTGTTTTTGTTCGAAATATAAATTAGTCTTGTGTTTTGAAGTACAGCTCGATATTTTAAGTGTTAAAAATTATGAGGACTTCAGTGATACAAAGTTTTACAAATTTAGCCTTGCTTTTCAGAAGTGTGTGAGGGTTCCCCTCACCCCCCATGATGCTGCACAGTGATTCTAGGTAAAGGATTTTTTTTTTTTTTTTAAGAAATTTACGATATGTCCAATACTTTAGGGGCAAAGTACAGGTTTTTCTCAGACTGTTCCACACAAAGTAAAGTGTGGGTTTTGGTTTTTTACTTTTTAAAAAGTGATACTCTTTTTTTTTTTTCCCCCCCATCGGAGACCTGATCATCAGTCCTCAGCCAGTGCATGCACCCGGCTCAGTGTCAGGTAGACAAAAGGGAATGCTCGATTGTTTAGAAACCTACACCTAGTTGGAAGGAAGGTTTTGCACAAAGGCAGCATTTAGGGAACAACTGCAGAATGTCTGTAATTAAGCCCTAAATCCTGTGCTGCCGCCTGTTTAAATGCTTTAGGAAGCCTGCAGAGTTGAGGTCGGTGGGAGCTGCGTGTTTCCCGGAGGGGTTCGGCCGTGAGCACGCCCGAGGGACAGGAAGGCCGGGCCGAGCGCGGGCGTGCGGGGATCCGGGGCTGCGGTAGCGGTGCGGGCCAGCGTGCGGGCGCAGGGCTGCGCGGGCGGCCGGTGGTGACCCCGACCGGGCTTTCATGACCCAGGTGTGGTGGGGGTCAGCTCGGGAGCTGGCGCCGCGGGGACACGCGGGAGGACGGGTCCTCGGAGCCACGCGTGTGCAGCGCCCTGGGAGGAGCGGGCGCCCCGCTTGGGAGATGCGGAGGCCGGAGGTGGGGGGGGGGGAGGGGGGGAGGTGCGGAGGGCTGGAGGTGCTGGGAGGTGGGAGGTGCTGAGGGTGGAGGTGCTGAGGGTGGAGGTGCGGAGGGTGGGAGGTGCTGAGGGTGGGAGATGCGGAGGGTGGGAGATGCGGAGGCTGGAGATGGGGGGAGGCAGGGAGTAGGGGGCGGTGGGGGGAGCAAGCGCAGGTGCAGGTTGTGCAGGCACTGTGGGGCACTGTGCACACTGTGGGGCGCTGTGCACACTGTGGGGCGCTGTGCATACTGTAGGGGCGCTGTGCATATTGTAGGGGTGCTGTGCACACTAGGCGCTGTGCACACTGTGGAGCACTATGCATACTGTAGGCACTGTGCATAGTGTAGGGGCGCTGTGCATACTGTGGGGCATTGTGCATAGTGTAGGGGCTCTGCACACTGTGGTATACTGTGTATACTGTAGGAGCACTGTGCATACTGTGGGGTGCTATGCATACTGTAGGGGCACTGTGCATATTGTAGGGGTGCTATGCATACTGTGGGGTACTGTGCATATTGTAGGGGTGCTATGCATACTGTGGGGTGCTGTGCATAGTGTAGGGGTGCTGTGCATACTATAGGCACTGTGCATACTGTGGGGCACTGGATAGTGTAGGGGCTCTGTGCATACTGTGGGGCACTGTGCATACTGTAGGAGCACTATGCATACTGTGGGCCACTGTGCATACTGTAGGGGCACTGTGCATATTGAAGGAGTGCTGAGCACACTGGGTTGCTGTGCATATTGTAGAGGCACTATGCATACTGTAGGCGCTGTGCATACTGTAGGAGCGCTGTGAATACTGTGGGGCGCTGTGCATACTGTAGGGGTGCTGTGCATATTATAGGGGT